AATCAAAAAGATACAGCAACAAATAGTGAAAAACAAGAATTCATAGATAGATTTTTCAATAATTTTAACCCTACAGCTAACAGCAATACTATAACATTAATTCAAGGCCTCATTACAGATGCGTTCAAACAAGACCTAAAATCGATTACACTTACTACAAACAAAATGAAACCCAATACAATCAAACGACTTCACAAAATTTGTAAAACGATCTACAACCAAACATGGAAAAACCATTACAAAACTACAACTCAAACAACAAATAATAACCAAATACAAAATACAAATAACAACTCTACGCAAAACACAAACCAACAAAACATACAAATAAACACAGATTATAATCCACAACAAACAGCTCAGAATAAATGGATAACTTGGACCAAACAATACTACATGCATAACGCATCTCCTAACACAATATATCAAATGCAATCTGAGTGAGGACTTGGTGCCTTCTCTTAGTAGAGCCTAGGCCGAAGGTAAAGTAACCTTAGTTGAAAGTTTTTAGATAGCTTAATTTCAAAATATGTAAAAATATCTTGATATTAAATTGTAATAATACATAATGTTATCAATAAAAAACTGAGATCAGGTCTCACTCTTTAAAAAAAAAAAAAAAAAAAAAAAAAAAAATGGTCCAAACCCTATATAATTGAAAGTATTAAAGTAAATATGGTAACGCCCACTGTCGGATTGGTTTAAAATTGAAAGTATTAAAGTAAATATGGTAACGCCTACCGTCAGATTGGTTCAAACTCTGCAAGAATCGAAAGTGTTAAAATAATATGGTAGTACCCACCGCCAGACTGGTTCAAACCCTGTGAATTGAAAGAATTAACGTTGTAATACTGATCAATTTAGACTTGGCATATGTACATTTGCATTTCTAACTTATTAAGGTATAATGTTAAAGAAAGCGGAATCCACTCTGGAAGCTTCTGCACTTATAAAGTACGTTTATACTAATTTTTAACAACAGTAAATAAAAAAAAATTCGTAATAAAAAATTTTATTAATCACATTTTTTTAGTGCTTATTATTTTAACAGTAAATAAAAGAACTTCGTATATTAATCCTATTTTTTTAGTGCTTATAATTTTAAAGAAGTCATTCTTTTTACTAGCTTGCCTTTTTGTCATTACTTTTTTACTGTCAATTCTGTTATAAAAGATGCTGACCCGATCAAAAGATAAAAGCACTAAACATAAATAAAAGCCTTTATATAGCAAAACCGTAATTAATTTAATAATGTTACTATTAGAGTTAATTTTGTAACGCATAATATGAATCATAATCGGAGCCGTGATCCGAATTTAAATTAAGAACTAAAATAATTAAACCCAACCTTTAGATATTAAAGACTTTAGTGAAAGCAAAATTTAAAGTATGTTAAAATATTCGCTTGACAATATATAGTTAATACTGTATTCAACTCTCAAACAAACTTATTTTGTTATTAGATATAACTTAAATTTATTGGTATTGTTTATATTTTAACTTTGGTATATTATTTCAAGTTGTTTAAATCATTAGAATTTTTTAATTATATATTTAGCCATTTTTTATATTACTAAATTTTATCCAATAAAATTATTGGACAATTGGACATATGTCCAATTTATATAATTGGACATATGTTAATTAATTTGATCCTTTTATTGGACATTGGCCAATGCCCAATGGTCCAAAAAATTATTAAAATTAATTGGACAAATTGGACATTGTCCAATGTCCAAATGTCCAAAAATCCAATTGAATTTATTTGGACATTGTCCAATACCAACTCTGCATATTAGCAAAGAAAATAATAATGAAGGTTTATACGAAGGAAAATTTTTAACAAAATTTTGCAGTAATAGATAGTCCGTATAGCAGCCTTCAAAGTTTGTAACGTTTTTTTTAAATCCAGATTAACGGGATTGAGCATTTAGATCAATTAGCAAGAGAAAAAGGGTGTTTATTTACAATACACTATAATGTGTTAAATTTTGTTATATTTTCTGTGTAATAGTAACAGATTGTTAGAGGTTACATGTTCAACCGTTTTGACCCGAGTTGTAAATTTTTGACCCAGTTGAACCGTTTTGACACGGGTGACCCGGTTTACTATAACTAGGTTCTAAACTCTAAAAAAATTCCGAGTACTTAAGTTTGAAGTCTTTGTGAGTACTATTTAAAAATATAATATGTATACATTATAATTAAATTTTAATATTTAAATTCAAATAACTATTATATCACTTACTTAACAAGACTAAATATGCCACGAGGTTTATTATTCCTAATTCTATATTCTAGCATAGATTGCGCTTTGTCCTTAAGGTCTTTCTGGGACCTCTGGTTCAAAGGCTCCGAAGAATGGCCATATTGTTTCATTATTTTCGACCAAGAGGTCTTGTGGCGGTGCATTCCAGCTTTCAGTGCAATAACTTCTTTTTCTGACCATTGTCGTCGTTTTTTCGTACTATAATTTAAATACTTTCAATCTATATACATAGCAATTGAGTCGTAATAAATTTTTTTGAATAACTTACTATACGGGGGGACTTGGGCTTCTGGAGGGACTTGGGCTTCTGAAGGGACTTAGGCTTCTGGAGGGACTTGGGCTTCTGGAGGGACTTGGGCTTCTGAAGGGACTTGGGCTTCTGGAGGGACTTGGGCTTCTGGAGGGACTTAGGCTTCTGGAGGGACTTACGCGGGGACTTACGCGTGGGCTTCTGGGGGGACTTACGCGTGGGCTTCTGGGGGGACTTACGCGTGGGCTTCTGGGGGGACTTACGGAGAGGCTTTTGCTTATACTATAACATAAATGCATTATTTTTAGTATACTGTACATACTGTAGCAATAAAGTCCCAGTAAATTTCTTTAAACTTACTTTAATCCCTCGCTTACGGAGGAATTACAGTAATACCATCAGTTATACTATTTTTAATGTACATAGTATTTTTTAAATAAACTTACTTGGGGCCTTCGCTAATGGGGGGCCTTCGCTAATGGGGAAGCCTTCGCTAATGGGGAGGCCTTCGCTAATGGGGGGGGCCTTCATTAATGGGGGGCCTTCGCTAATGGGGGGCCTTCGCTAATGGGGGGGCCTTCGCTAATGGGGGGCCTTCGCTTATGCTTGTTGAAGAGTTTCGAAACCACGAAAGAAGAAACTTTATCATTGTTTAGAAGAAACACGAGAACACGTATGACTTATTTTGATCACTAAAATTTCAAGATCAGGTGTAATTTAAAAATATTAGTGAGACATTCGTCTGATTGGCTGATGTAAATCAATTGCCCGGGTAACTTATTTATACACTTTAAAGTACTTTTTGGGAACGTAATGTTTTACTAATAAAAAATCATTGCAAAAGCCATTATTCACTTCGATCAATATTATCATCTGAAATAGCAAATTGTTGTAGTTGATTGATACAACCGATAATTTTACTATGGTAAATAGAATTATTATTACTAATAGAATGATTTTTCTATTATCGTTTCTTTATCAGATTTTAAAAATTCGGCCAAAATTCCAGAACTATTTCTCCACTTTGAAATAGTTTCGTGAATTTCTATAGCTGACGGCCGTTCTTTTGGATCTTTACCCCAACACTTCTTTAAAAGTTCTGTATAATACGTCGCTGTACCTTTAAGAATATTCGGTCTTAATCCTTCACAAATTTCTGCAACTAAGCTTAATTCATTACCTTCATAATTATTCCAAAAGAATAAATGTCTGATGCTTTGGTAAACGGATTTCCTCGTGCGATATAAGGTATTGCTCCAAAATTTTTTTAGATTTCGTATTTGTTTTATTTATTGCCGTTGCAAATCCTACAAAAATAATCAGAAATAATCAGTAACCCGAGAACTTTATTTAGAATACAAAGTACCTAGAGCTACAGCAGAGACAGTGCCCGATCCAAAGTGAATCCCTCTCGCCTGTGATCAATCACAAATTAAATTATTTATGTTGGATTCAATTGTGATGGATATAATCCCTCACCAGTTTTAATATATGTGTAACATTAACGGCCTCTGCTGTAACCTAGAGCTGCGATTTGTCTATTGATACAATATATAGGCAGAAATAACAATACTTGCTGTTCGTGTTGGTCTCATTGGATAGCAATAACCAACATCATGTCTTCCCAGCATGTCCGCTTTGTTCTAATTTTAGAATAACCCTAATTTATTATCAAACGAACCCATTTTCGTAATGGCAAAAGAAGGAGCCTAAAAACGAAAGACGAAACTCACTGGCAAAACAGCGAAATTCCCGGTGAAAGGCAAATTCCCTGACGAAAATCGAATCTTCTAGGATTTTAGATAGTGATCCAAGCTGATTAAATTTTTATAGCTAGCCTATTAGAGATTATCGATCGGGTATTCGGTTACCCAGTCCATTGTAACTGTGTAACTTGCCAGGTTCGTGGCAAACTACGAATCAATTTCAATAACAGGAAATCAAAACAAATGTTCGACTATATATAACTTACGTGTTTGATGCTACGGCTTTTTTACTATAGTTATAGTATTTGTATTATTTTTTATAGGTTTAAGATGAGTTAAAATTATCTTTAGTACTGTAAGTAATATTTGTTCTTTAAGGTTATAATACACTTACTATAGCGTCGTGTGCAAGTAGTTATACTATCGCGACTGTATTTATTACTAGGGTCCCTTTAGTTTGAGTTGCTGAGGCTAATTTATTTTTTATTTTCTCTTTTTTTTTCTTTATAGATTTATGACGAATTGAAATTATTTTCTAATATCCTTTAAGGTTATGTTACACTTGCTACAATGTCGTGTACGAGCAGTGATACTATTCTGCTATTGTGACTGTATACATATTTTACTAGC